CACAAACAAAGGTATGAATGTCTGTGTGGTCTGATTTAGTTAGCGCGAACAGAAAAGCCATTATTGAAAGGAATTCATTTTTGGGGTGGGAGGGTGGTGGTGGAGGGGGTTCTGTTCTTTTTTTAACATATTATTTTACTTTGTTGTTAATTTATTTTCTGCTTGTTCTTTCTAGATGCATTTAAAATTGAGTCTGTAGTTGAATAGATACTACATTTTGATATCAATTAAAAATCAAGTTTATTCATTGTGATTTGAATAAGAACCCCGCCACCCCCCCAAAAAAGAAAATTGCCCAACTCTCGAGATTACATAACATAATTTCAGTTCATTTTCCGAGCCGATACACAATTAAAAAAAAAATAGCCGAAACAAATCTTACAGCAGAGGTGTCAAACTCATTTTTGTCGCGGGCCACATTGGAGTCACCGTTTCCCTTGGACGGCCATTACGACTGTTAAACCATACGAAGAAGTCAAGAACAATGGTTTATTCAACGATCGTTGAAGTGACTGTAATGAGGGCTTTGGTCACGAGAAAATGCTTCCAATATATGTTATTTATTACATGTGAGAATTTGAAATTTTGCAAGATTTTAGCAAGCATCAATCACGGAAGGTGACATGTTTGATTTGTTTTCGCGGGCCACAGAAAATGACGTGGCGGGCCAGATCTGGCCCCCGGGCTTTGAGTTTGACACCCGTGCCCTACAGTATGTACCTTCATTAAAATCCATTTTCCTTCCTGAATAGAGGCGAGATCTCTGGTCAAAGGAAGTAGCCGGTACCGCCTTTATATCGACCCGTGACTCCACCGCTGTGCGAAGCATATATGAAAGGATCACTTGCAGATTTCCACTAACTCTCTGGAATTGCTTTTCCCTGCTGCCATAGATTCACGGGGTCGAATAACTTTGGCACTCATTAGACCTTTTCACGGCCAGCCTTCCTCCCAGCTATTCAGCTGTTTTCGAGGGCAAGCCAAATTTCGGATTGCAGTCCCTCAGTAAAAGTAAGGACAAAAAAAAAAAAGATCAAAATCCTACTTTCCTCCGTGGTTTCAAACATGACATTGATGCTCAATTTCAGCAGCGCGCCCGCGTGAATCGACGTCACTCTCTTTTGCGCACAAAGCGCGGGTTTCTTCTTCGGATGCGTTTGCGCTGAACAAGCAGATGTCTCGGCGAACGAAACGTGATTCACCCTCAGCTGCGTATCAATAAACACGTAACGTCAAAGAGGATTTCCTTCGGTTTCGTGTGGGCGATGTCAGGCACCACCGCCTCATGGACTAAAAGCTCTTGCGATGTACGTAAATGCAATTGTACCATAAAATTGCTCTCCCCCCTTTTAAGATACATGAATCCATCTGCAATTAGAGTATAGATCGTAATACCGTCAGTGTCAACACTCAATGAAGTGTAAGATGTACACCTCCATGATTTCAATGCTAAAAGCTCTCTGCGTACTATTTACACGCAGAGGCACTTTGCTACGTGATTCATCATTTCACTCTGTATGTGAATGTCCTTTTTTTTTTCTTGCTTTGGATTTGAAGCGTTTCGCTGATGCCAAACGTTTTTTGGAATTAAAGGATTACAGGTTCCTGTGTCCGGGATTACCGAGGTGCAAACATCCTCCTATCCGAGTACAGTGGCGAAGAATGGGAGTGTGTCAAAGCTTGCAGAGAAGCTGCTTAAGCCTAAATGAGGTGTGGATGTGGAGGAGAGCGCAAGACAGAATATATTTGTGCCGTGTGTGTGTGTGTGTGTGTGTGTGTGTGTGTGTGTGTGTGTGTGTGTGTGTGTGTGTGTGTGTGTGTGTTTGTGTCGCCGAGGTGATTTTATTGTTGTCATATTACTCCTACTACTACTGCTACTATTGTTGTTATGTTTTTTGTGCAGAGGAAGTATATTATCATGCAATGAAATATAGATTAAAACACACATATATATATATATAAAAACACACACACACACACACACACACACACACACACACACACACACACACACACACACACACACACAAATACACACACCAAAAGCAATGCACGTTTTATTTGAAATGAAAGCAGTATATCATCAGCAATTCGGTTCTTTTGGCACTTGGGAAATGACTTTTCATGTATGTAAGACTTCAAGAAATTCTTTCAAAATGGCGAACAGCCAACTTGTCTTCTTGTTGTTCAATTTTTCGCCCTATTTGTAGAAGAAGATCATGTAAAAATGTCCCTTTACATTGCCACCTGTAACACTCCATTTAAAAAAAAAATGCATTTTAGGAGGTACTCAGCACTCATTTGGTATTTTTAAAACTGTACTTGAGCAAGGCAGCCCGGTGGTCCAGTGGTTAGCGCATCGACCTCACAGTGCGGAGGTACCGGGTTCAATTCCAGCTCCGGCCTCCCTGTGTGGAGTTTGCATGTTCTCCCCCTGCCTGCGTGGGTTTTCTCCGGGTACTCCGGTTTCCTCCCACATTCCAAAAACATGCATGGCAGGCTGATTGAAAATTCTAAATTGTCCCTAGGTGTGAGTGTGAGTGTCTGTGTGCCCTGCGATTGGCTGGCAACTGGTTCAGGATATGCCCCGCCTACTGCCCGAAGACAGCTGGGATGTCTCCAACCCTTGTGAGGATAAAGCGGATCAGAAAAATGGATGGATGGATGTACTTGAGCTTTTTTTTTGGGGGGGGCGGGGTCTCAGGAATGTATTCAGTATTTTGTATATGGTCTCTTAAAAATTTGACGGGTGGGATGTAAAATGTCCTCCAATTCTGGAATCACCCACATATTAAATCACAATTTTAAAGGGGGGGGAATGCAATTTCACTATTTTTCAGAGTTGTTCAGCCCTGCATGACAGGCATATTTGCAAATGTCACAGTATGACATCTCATAAGACTTTTTTTTTTTTTTTTTTTAAGTCAAGATTCCTCTCCCCTGAAGCCAACCAGCCCGAGGAAAGAATAACACGAAACGAAACACCACCCACCTTCACATGTGACCTTCCATTAAAGAAATTGACCAATCAGCAGCCGATGAGAGGCGAGGATCAATCTTGTGGATGCTTCGCTAGACCTTGCCGCGAAATTGTGAGGCTTAATACAATTAAAGTCTGAGGAGAAATCAATGAAGATTAGCGGCTCAAAAGTGTCTGCACCCTTTCAAGTGCACAAAAAAAAAAAAAAAATTAATAGGGCGTGTGTTGTGTCATCCGCACCCTTGTCTGACCTGTATACAAATTGCAAACATTTGACTGGTTTATGTTCTGAAATCTGTCCGGCGTAATTTCATTCCTTCACAATCTCGATTCACTGACCCTTCTGAGATCGGCGTGCATGACTGTCGTCACTGGATGTCATTCAAGTATTATTGCTTGGTGCAGGCACAACGATGCTATCGCTCCACGGATAGGAAAACTCGACTTCAATTTCCATGTTACCACCACTGCTGGGAGATACACAGAAGGTTCGATCTTCCGCTGAATTTGTATTTATATTTGAATTGTTTACGGTGTTTCATCAGAGTTGTTCAGAGTTCAGGTCATGACCAGTCACGGCTCAGCTTGCCAACGGCACATGACCAAAAGCAGAAAATAGATGTGCCGTGATTGGTCATTAAACTGAGTCCTGAGCAACTGTGATGTCATTTTCAATTGACATCGAGTGGGCAAAATGGCCACAGACTGAGGTGGATTTTGATGCTTAATTCATATTCCGCAAACGCGATATGCCGTGATTAGCCAGTAGCAACAGGACCACTAGCAGCTCTTTTCCGTGTGACCACCTGTCAAGAAACTTTCTTTCTCTCTTTTTTTTTTTAAAATATAACAAAGTCTGCATTTTTTTTGTTGTTTTTTTGTATCTCACATATCCATGAATACATTTAATATTAATTGTATAGAGTTTGGGCAATCGTCACATTATCAATCTTGATTTAGACTTGAAACAGTCTTTACCACCCCACAACCCAAACACACACACACACACACACACACACACACACACACACGCACAAGTATTGAGTCCAATTGTAAATGTCTTTATATTATTTGGCTGTATGTGCTGAGATTATTTTCCAGGTTCCTAACCCTACCCCCCCCCACACCCCCAACCCCATACTTTAAAAATTATCAGCATGCCAGGTTGTATTACCGGGACGAGTTTTTTTTTTTCACTGATTACACTTGAATTCAAGTGTGACGTTCCCGTTTGCGAGCCATCTCTTTTTAATACCGCTTTGATTTAGGAGAATACTGTCAGACGTCTTCTGGCAGAACGTCATCTTTTTGAACCAAAAAAAAATATAGATATATAATTAATAATTCCTCTCCCAAGGCAAGCCATTTATAGATGTTATTGTGTAACTCAGTGTGTCGACCCCTGTCGGGGCAAACCGAAAGCCGCAACAAAGTGAAGTGCTTAAAAGCGTATTTAAGGCAAAAAAAAAAAAAGCCTCCAAAAGGGACATCTGTGAGTGTGCTTGTCAGGTCATTTTCTGTTTTACATGGTGGGATTTGGTCCTGTTGACAATATTTTGCCAGGAATAGTAATTATTATTGCTCTGTTTTAATCCCGCATATAACTGTACTGTATGCTGTATATTCTCATATTATGAACAAGCGATTATACATTCTTTTTAGTTCATCATTATTTAAGATCCAGGAAGTGTTCATTGCAACGTGACACAAGTTATGAGCTCACTGGCCAGTAGCCAGTGACATTTTCTTTTCTACGGTTCTGTAGGTGCCATTAATGTGCACTTAGCGGCGATAGGGCAAAGTTTACAAGCAATTCATTGGAAACTGTGGCCGACCTTATGATTGGAACCTGTTGAGCAACTTTAGGGTACATAAAAAGGATCATAAATAGTTGGGTGGATTTTTTTTTTTTTTTTTAAATGAAGATGCCATAATGTGCTCAGGTCAGGTCCGGTGTTCCACTATATCTGGAGATTGCCGGGTCCAACTTATGAGTGAATCTTATCGTTTCTGCCTTCAGGACTGGCTGAGCAAGTTTGGTTACCTCCCACCGCCTGACCCAGTAACCGGCCAACTTCAGACCAAGGAGGCCCTGACCAAGGCCATCAAAGCCATGCAGAAGTTTGGAGGACTCAAGGAAACTGGAGTTTTTGGCAAGTGGCTGAGTTTTAGCCTTCAGAATCCCCCCCCTCCCCACCCCCCCAAAAAAATTGTAAAAACGAATCTCAATTATCTTAAAATCTATCACACAATCATTTTTTCTTGACAGATCAAGCTACATTGGGGCTCATGAAAACACCCAGATGTTCTCTGCCCGATGTCGCTGAAACCGAAGTGACAGTGGGCCGCAGAAAACGAAGTCCGAGTCCTCCCAACAAATGGAAAAAGAGGCATTTATCCTGGAGGTGAGAAACCAAAACACTTTCCGAAAACAACTCAAATGGTGTATGTTGAACGAAATGTTTTCATTTTAGGAGGATTATTTTTAAAAGCACTCGTCGCTCTTAAATCACGTTGCAACCCGTACAATTATCACAGGCTGTATTATGGCTGTATGAATGGATCCACCGGTGGGTTCCAGTTGTTTGGTGTCAGTGATGGTGTAGCGGTTCAATCGGCGTCGGTGCAGGCAGCATGCGTTCTTTTCCCGCTTTGGGACGGCGTGGCTCTGAGAGTGAATGATTGATGATGATGTCTGTCTCTATAATTTCACTGTGTTTTAACCGAAAACTGCATGCAGGGTGTACCCGCCTTTTGCCTCAGCTGGGCTTGGCTCCAGCACCACGCAGTCCCGAAAAGGATAAATGGTTCAAGAAAATGGACGGATGTCGATTTGGGCGGGTAATTGGATAGCCAGTTTGCTGGGGAAAAAAAAACAAACAAACAAAAAACATTGTGTGAAATGTCCTGCATTTAACTTTGTTGGTCATCACTGCAGTAAGCAACATTTTTATTTTTACCGCAGCTGCTCCAGCTGCGCTTGGACCCAAATTACACAGTTATTCCATTTGTCTTATCCATAGCGACCCTTTTGTGCGTGTGTGTGTGTGTGTGTGTGTGTGTGCGCGCGCGTGTCCTGATCTCCTCCCACAAGGCCAGTTCCTTGCAAGTGAGCCACTGTAGCTTTAGCATTTGATGTGTGAGTGACTTGGCTGCAACCAGCAGAGGCGCTTGTCATCGAATCGTCACGCGCATGACGTCCGCTCTGCAAAAGCTGAGCGACAGACCACCGCTTTGCCCATTACGACACTGGCATGAAAATTGGAGTTCAAAGGATTAAGAGAGAGATCCTCCCATTTTAAAAACCTTTACCAAAAAAAATAAAATAAAAATACCATTCATTTTCCCCATCATCAAGCAAGAAAATGTAGCTCAGTGCCATTTCAGAGTAAAAACGGAGCCAATTTACTTCAGTTCTGCATTAGCCTACTTTCCAAGCCAAACCTTGGTTTTCATATTTTTTATCCTCGAGGTCGGTTGCTTCGTATCCAAGACTGTTATGTGGGGGAGCTGAATGAGAGTGTGAAGACAAGACAGAAAGAAAATAAATTTGATTCTCCCTTTGCGTCCACTAAAGCCTCCCTTGCATGCCTCAGATTTATAACATCCCAAATTTAATTCAATTATCACCCTCTGCAAGAGCTTAATGGGAGGAACATTCATTTCAATCAAATGTGGTGACACCAACAAGCCCCACCCCCACACACCCACACCAGGACCACGATTCAGAGCCCAAATCCAACTGCGCGCGCTTGCCTCTTGAGCCACGCATTCATTTTCTTAATGAAGCAAATGGGCGGTGCTCCCAGAATATTCGGTCAAGAGAAGGAGGAGGCGGGGGGAGATACACGGGCTGTCGGCCCGCAGCGATATCGCTGTTTACCTCATTAATGACAGTTCAAGTCGCTCAGGCAAGGACAATTTAAAAAGAAGTCAGACCCGACTGAAAGTCAAAAGTAGTCGCTAATGAGGGAAGGGTAACCACAGTCATAAGTCAGCAGCAGGGGTCCGTCATCATGCTAATTATAGCCGTAGCTCACAGCTGTTAGTGACTGTCAGGAAAAGCCACAGCTGTATCCAAAGGGGCCGCTGATATGCCGTCTATGCAAGCCTCTCTGACTATTTGAGATAATAACGTGACACCGCTTGCAGTAAGAACCAACACCGGAGCATCCAGACATCACTTTCTTCCCTTTGGAACCTGTGCAACATTTAAATGCATATTATCGACGCGTTCGTAATCTTGAGACTGTGTCGGAGCGAGTCAGGGATTTTGTTGGCCTCCCATTGCCGCAAAAAATCAAATGGCGTTGAGTTTGTCACTTTACACGTTGCCAATTTTCAAATGATACCCAACACACACCACAGGCCAATCTTTTTGAGACATGTTGTGGATAATGAGGCTTGACTTCAAATTCAGCTTGATTATCGGTCTGTGTGCGCAGCCTTGGAGAAAAAGCCATCAATTTTTTTTTTTTTTTTACCCCCCCGAAGTGTCAACTTTGAATTTGACTTCACGTTGCGCATGACACATCAGACAAAACGACACAAAAAAACTGGCCTTATGTTATTCTCATTCATCTGCCTGCTGCTCATCACGAGTGAAATTTGTGGTGGAGCTTAAAAAAAAATAAAATAAAAAAACTGAATGTTTTTATCTCGCATACCCGTCTCCGTTGGTGATGAATAGTGGTGATGGGCGAGGAAACAGCAAAGAGTCAGAAGCAAAAAAAAAAAAAAAAAGCGAGAGACATGACACGTGGGAAGATCCATGCGGAGCCTTTAATTTTCGAAACCTTCATCCTCAACCCGAATGACGAGACCTGTGGCTCTGTGTCTGCATGTGAAACAGGAATGTGCTGACTCTTTGCTAATACACAGAACAGAGTCGCATCGCTGTCAGCGGAAGACTTTCAAATGTGTGAGCGAGAGTGTCATGAGTGGGTGTGGCCTTGCTGTCGCGCTTTCTCCGTAGAGCTGCACAGCCACAGGAAATAAAAGGGTCCTGATTAGCTGAAGGCCCCTACCCGAGTGTCTCCTCTTCCACTCAGACACTCAAAAGATGAAATGGGAAATTGCATGAAGGAAGTTAACGCCTCCTGTTTAAAAAAAATAATCATAAAAAATAATGAGCAACAACTTCTGGAGATTCTCCGACTTCCTCAGGAGCAGATGTTCACCACTCTGCAAATAAAAAACAAAAAAAATGGCCGCTGGCTAATTCAACCATATTTGTCATCATATAGCGTGCATTCATGCGGATTTGATTGTGTTTTCACTTGTGGAGGCAGCGCTTTGTCACCAAGCCACTGAATTCAACTCCGTTAATTAGTTTGCAGATGCGGCACATTCGGGAGACGCAGCGGCGGGCGCAAAGCTCCGCATTGAAATTTGAGTATGTGCTGGTTATCAGAAGTCGATGATGGCAACGCCGTTAGCTAAAAGCTGATCTGTGCTGACACTGCAGCTCCTGCTGCTTCGTATTGGCGACTGCGTCCCATCGACAATGGCTGATCTAGGAGCCTAGCTGCAGAGTCGTGTGCGGAGAACATTAGTGTGGGGTGTGATTAGTATGTAAATAGGACGATCAGAGACATCACTAATTTGCAATATTCAAAACAGCTCACTCACAGACACACTTTCAGAAATAGGCAGAATCTCACGATTTTCTTTGAATATCTTTGTTCCCTTCTCTTGTCTCAGAGTGAGGACATTCCCCAAGGACTCGGCATTACTGGGCAGAGACACCGTTCGAGCACTCATGCATTACGCCCTGAAGGTTTGGAGTGACATCGCGCCGCTTAACTTCCACGAGGTGGCAGGAAACGACGCCGACATGCAGATTGACTTCACGAAGGCCGACCACGATGATGGATATCCCTTTGACGGGCCAGGGGGCGCCGTGGCCCATGCCTTTTTCCCTGGGGAGAGGTTCACCGCTGGGGATACGCATTTCGATGATGATGAGGCGTGGACCTTCAGATCACCAGGTGAGAGAGACAGAGGTCGTTTCCCAAGCTGTGCTTCTAAAACTTATCACACCAATTGTCAACTCAAAGAAATTCTTAGCTCTCCAAAAACCTCTCCAAGAACCTCTCCAAGAACCTCTCTAAGAACGTACAGTCAAACGTCGGTTTTCGAACGTCTCTGTTCACGACCAAATCGTTTTTCGACCTAAAATTTCAAGTTTTTTTATGCCTCGGATTACGACGGAAAATCGGTTCTCGACCAAATTGAGTGCACTCGGATGCGCCACTTGACTCCTCTCACCTTCCTTACACAAGGAAGTGACGCTTCGTCGGGTAGACGAGGAAGTGACACTACCTCGTGTAGCGTTCCATTGTGAGCAGACGTGTTCAATAAAGATTTTTTTTTTTTTTTAAATAGAGCATGGTTTCGGTTTTCGAACAAATCAGTTTTCGAACAGCCTTCTGGAACGGATTATGGTCGAAAACCGAGGTATGACTGTATTTTGTTCCGGAGATTACTGAATGCTAGCTAGCTTTTTGCACATGCAGCAGCGATTGTTCTGGATATGTAAAAACAAAAAAATGATGGGGTCACATGGTTCAAACAGGATCAAAACCAGCAAAGATACAAAAAATCGTAAATAGTTGCGATATATATGTTTGACGACTCGCTACTTGGTGTTGTAGTACTCCACTAAATTTGCGCGGTAAAAGCTAGCGGAAGAGTCTGACGTTAGCCAAAAGTTAAAGCTAATAACTAGCCCCGGTTGCCACTCGCCTGAATAGATTACTATCACTGGCGAGGAACAAAGGCAGCGACACAAAGTGAAACTGCATCAGCAGATTATTATGTGTTTTATGTGTAATTACTATATGTGATACAAATGCGCGCTTACTGAAATCACTTGAGGATACACACGAGATAAATGCGCCAACTTTCAAAGAAAGATGACGACACTTATTTAAATAACTCATCATGCACTTCAGCTGAAATCTCTCCGGCTCTTGGAAATATGTGTGGCTTTCTTATATGATCATCAAATGTATTGATGTTAATTATATATTGATTGATTCAGTGATTCACAGAAAGACAAATGTTGATGGCCATTTCAAATGTTTTGAGGACAATTGCCATGGACTACAAGCAAATGCCACATGTTAGCGCGCTGTCTATAATTACAGCATCGATGCTTTTATTTTTAGAACCGGATTATATTTGTCTTGACACAAGTTGATTGTGTGGTTTTGTTCTGAGCGTTTATCTTGATTGATCAAGCCAAACTTGTTTCATCCAACACTGCTCGTTTGGAGGAGTGACGACAAAGATGCAAAAGCTTCCCGAAATGGGAGCGTGCCTATTTGTGGTCGGATTTGGAAAGCGCAATATGCTCTTTAAATGTTTGGAGCTCGGAATGTTCTCTTGTCCCTCCGTCATTCGTACTACTTTTGGAATCTGTTATCCCCCTGATGATTTTTTGGCATTTTTCCTTATCTCAAGCACAGAGGCAAAATTTCAGCAGCTTTGGAAAAATATTGTTAGTGGCAGGGAGGAAGTGTTTTCCTTTGTTTAATTTTTTTTTTTTTAAATCAATAGATAAAGCCTCACCTGTCACTTCCAGTGTTCCTCATTTTCCTGTCATGAGCCTTTATGTAAAAGAAGAAAAATGAAGGCGCACTATGAGTCCACTCATCCAGATGAAATGAGGCGATGGAGTGATCTGTAATCGTTGCCCTGACTGAACTTGTCATGTGGCAACGTCTCGGCGCGGTCACGCAAATGGCAGCTATACCCTTTCCTTTCCTTTCCTTTCGTCTGAATTTGCTATTTTTAGCGTCCCGTTTAGTGAACTTCACTCTGACCTTGAACGTTGGCACCGTCCTCCCTATTGCTCCTGATAAACGATGGAAGGAGAGGCGGCAGAAACAAGAACGCTTAGAAATGTCTGAGAGCAGGCTGTCAAAATTTCCTTCTTGAACTCCACAACAGTGCGCGTTTTAAGAAGGCAGAAAATTCGACTCTTTGTTCTTTCTTCAGTAAAAGTAACACCCCAACAAATTCCAACGGTCTTTTTGGCTTGTTTTTCAACTTGTTTGTCGGCTTTCGGGTCAGATTTGTTCGACGCGTGGAAGGTAGGCTTAATGCTAACTTCAGGGTATTTTCAATGATTCCGTAGGCTTTTAAATCACACCGGATTGTTCTGCGCAAAATTATCTTGATTTATCAAGCACAACATGTTTCATCCAAGATTGCCTGCTGCGGGAGAGCTGCCGATTTGTAATGAGGACATGATGCTAGGCGCCTTCTAAATGCAACGCAGCCTGCCAATTCCCGGTCAGTGCTGGAAAACACGACATGTTGTCTTGACGCTTGGAGCTCGGCGCGGTTTTATATGATTCCAAAGCATTTATGGTGACAGCCTCGCAGGGCGATGGGAATTTTGCTGTGTTTCGTATGACTGGCTCGTTATGAACATGACAAACAGAACATTTTCAAAAGTGCCCCCCCCTTTTTTTTTTGCCTGTTTGTAGTCTCACTTTGTATCCACTCTCGCCCACTGCATTTGTGAAGCAAACATTTTTTTCCAAACAAACCATCTGGTGTGTGATGCTGCAAGGGTTGGGCCCGTGTACAAAAAAAAACGGAGAGTTGCGAACCCAATGATGGAGGTTGCTCATTAGAGGGGGGACAAAACATGCTGGAGACTGACATCAAATGGTCTTGAGTCAAACGTCAAATTGAGGAAGCTAGCCTGGCCAACGCAAGTCCTTGAGCTCTTGATCGTCAGTATTATACCAATCGAAGCTGTCAGAAGTCGCAGCATTAGCTGCACCTGGACGTTTCGTATCCGGCTTTGAAGAAACATTGACGGATTTAAGAACCTTACGTTTGCAAGATTAATACTCCTCACCAGAACTATGTCTACTTTCGTGCGGTTTACTCCCTGTTTTGGTTTCTTTTCACGCAGTAAAAATAAATAAATAAACAAATCCAAGCAATCCCAAATATATCACACCGGATGTACTTTTATTGGTCACAAAAATGTAAACAGTAATCGCATCGTATGGATGCGAGAAACTGCACTAATAAGACATTTCAATATTTGTCGACAACGATGACAATCTGCTAAGCTAATGCGCTGTAAGGCAGTGGTCCCCAACCCCGGGCCGCGGACCGGTACCGGTCCATGGGTCATTTGGTATCGGGCCGCACAGAAAAAATGCATAACTTACATTATTTCCTTTTTATTCATTTTGGAATCTGTTTTATTTTGAAAAATTACTGGATTTTCTGTTACATCTGTCGACAGTATGTCACTCTTGATGGAGGTCAAGGCGTGCTTCTCGGTCATGTGATAGGTTACAGTTAAAATGAAACCGAGGAGCTAGCAAAATGAGTACAAACCAAACGTCTTTGGGAAGGGGAAAGGGCCCAGCCAGGAGGTGGAAGAGGAGCCGACGACTTTTAAGAAAAAGAAGGCTACATTTAATAGACGGTATCAGGATTTCCTACTGAAACTACGGACTTATCTCAATGGGAGATTCCCGCGCCCCAAGCCCGCTCTGCATAATGTGCGATGATGGTGAGTCGTATTTTTCATGCACTTTGTATTTGCGGTGTATCTTATTTTGAAGGCACGTTTAAACATTACCATAGCGACCAGAGAGTGTTGGGGCCAGATAGGACTTTCCTTGTGTCATGATTCGTGTTTATTATTATGTTTAAAAAATACTACCGTTTTCATGTAGGTCATATCATATTATTTTGTTGTATTTATCCGCCACGCTTAAAGGCCGGTCCCTGAAAATATTGTCTGACGTTAAACCGGTCCGTGGGGCAAAAAAGCTTGGGGACCGCTGCTCTAAGGTGTCATTTTGAGCAAATGATCCTTTTTCACAGCGTGAAAACTAGATAAGCTGCCATCAAACAAGATGCTAACCGCACACATGAGAAATCAAAGATGTGTTTCGTAGGTCATCAGCCTGTAGTTAGCGCGCCGCCATAAAGCAGGTAAGTAATTGAATCAGATGAATGTCCAAAACCTCTCGCAACAGAACATCGTTTTGCCTCTGTCGTCGCCCACGTTTGATCGTTACCACAGAACATCCGGTCGCGCTAAATTTGATCAACGCGGACAAAATGGTCAGGTGCCATTGTGAAAGCATCCTGAGACAGCTTCAGAACTCCAACACTCGTCTCACAACGCCCCATGCGTCCTTATCAGTCGTTTCATTTGGCACTGAGAGAGAATTGATCCCGCGCCAGCTGCACCAAAGTCAGCTATGTAAACAACCGCACTGCCAATGACTCCTGGGCAGGATTTTACCGAGTGGTTCATCCCTCTTTTGTCACATTTCTCGAGCGACACTTTGTATGCTGGAAACAATTCAGCCAGTGATCCTTCTCCAAGATCAAAACTCAGGCTGAAACCATCGAGATGTTGTGCGGCTGTGTCTCTGCTGAGAGACATTTAATGAGGAAAACAGTCCTTGAAAGGTGTCGCTACGCTGTCAAAGCACGTGTGTGTGATGAATCCGACTGTACCCAAGGTCGGTGGAGTGTAATGATACAAAGAGCGCTCATTATTTCCTCTTTTCTTATTTCGGTCCTGCGCTTATATTGTGGGTTACTGCGGATTCCCACCATGGATGGCTTCATGTCTGACCAGTTCAGTGTGTGGGCGCATCCTCGCCAGCTGCACAAATGGGCGGGGAGGGGGCGGAGTAATGAGTGGAATGAAGTGAAGAGTCCAGGGGTCATCGGTGTCCATGTGACTGCATTCAATTGTTGTCCGACCACTTTGATTTCACCACCGCCTCCTGCAAATGAGTCAACTTCAGCATGGTCGAAGAAGAAAAGATGATCCAAAGATGATCTTCGTCAAAGTGCCCCAGTTGCAGCTTTTTCCTCATTCAATTGTGATGGCATTGTTATCGGTGTAGCATTTGGCTCCGGTCCACTGAGTCCATAGAGGTCCCTTTTATCAGGAGTCATTTGAGAAAACAAGGTCCTATTGATTTTT